AATAAAGAGAAAGTAAATATTACCATTTACTGCAGCAGCAATTTTTGTTGCAGAAAAATTACGTTTGTTTCTTCTTCCACAACCACTGAATTGTATTGAAACAGCCTTCTTCATCAGTAATTTCATTACTGATGGTACTAGTTCTTTTACTGTTTGTCCACTAGCAAGATTAAGATATTTTAACTAAAAATGAAAATATAACAATAAGAATATTGAACACAGTTTTAAATACAATATTTTTAATTTTTTTGTATCATATTAACAATCTGAATTAAATCTGTAATAAATTCTTGTGCTTATTTCTTTTTACATTTTATAAAGTTTAATGTAATCTTCAAATATAAATTGTAAATAATGTAAATGTAAATGTAAATCAAATTTCTTTTAAAAATTAAATTTATTATCTCATTTTATTTTATACTTACGAAAGCTATCCAATCTTCGTCACAATTTGTTAAAGAATACTGAATTTCATCAAAAGTTTCCATAGAAGAAATTGGAAGTAATTGACTGAATTTATTAGAAGCTACTGTGCTGTTAGCTATTACTAAAGAATCTAAACGTATTTTAATTTGTTGTTGTTCCTTTTTTGATTCAATTACTTCAAATTTGACCTCTTCAATTAATTTAAAAATCATTGTAAGGATTTCTAAAAAATTTTAAAAGTTACGACATGTATATAAATGAAAAATTCTTTTTAAAGTAGTGCTTTTAAAGTAACAATTATAAAATCTCACCTTTAATAGTTTGATTATTTGATTTTTTTGTATTTCTGTTGACTTCTTCATTTGTGCGTGTAACGATTTCTACAACTTCAGTAGAAATTTGTTCACTAGAAACAGTTTCTGTAGTAACAGGACAGTTTACAATCTGAGAGTTAATTTGTAAATTTTCTTCAACTGCTTGTACTGTAGAATCTGTAACAGAAAGAATCCTAGTTAAAAAAAAGATATATTAAATCAATTAGTTGTATTTCTCGAAGTTTATTATTGCCACTTTTCCGCAATGCTGATTAATTCTTCTTAATGCATATTTTGTGTGTATTGTGAGGTTGGTATATAATAGCAAATATAATAAAAAGTAAAAAATGTTAAATAGTGCGCGTGAAGCACACGTCTGTGCTAATATTCTAAATTACAGAAATTTGTACTGAAACTTTGTTTAATGTGTATGCGTTGTAACACTATCAAAAATATCAATCAATTTAATTATAAACTGAATCAATTATTAATTCTTTTTGTTCTTATAAAAGCAATTACAAATCTATTATTGAAATATAGTTTAATAGATATATATAAATCACAATGTATATTTTAATTAAAAATTAGGAGGAACATACTACGAATTGCTAATGCCAAACAAAAATCATATCAATGTCATATAAATTCTTATCAATTACAAACACATGTTTCTGCAAATAATGCATGAAAAATAAAATAAAAATTTGGAAATAGTTGAAACATATGATTTCATATAAAATAATATGATGTTTTATTTCATTAATGCAGCAAATTATAATATTAGAAATTATAGTTTGTAGAAAATTTACTGTTTAAATATCAAATATATACATATAGATAAACTAAAATAATTAAATATTAATAATTTAAATATTAAAAAAACATCAAAATTCTGTATTTTATGTTGAGATAAATTGTCACCTTCAACTTGACTAAAAGATGAAACAATAGGACATTTTGTTTGGTTATTTAAATTGACCAAATCTACACGTTGCCTTTTTGACTGCTTCTCTGTTATTTCATTGTCAGAATTTATTCGGCGTCGAGCAGGTAATTTATTTTTTGGTTTTGATAATAAACTTGTTTCAAAATTCGAATTCTCAGAAATACTGCCTAATTGAGATGTTTCTTCAACATCAATAAAAGTATCTGTAAGAGACAGAAATACTTTTTAATAAATAGCATGTTCAATTTCAAAGTTAAAAAAAGAAGTAACACTAGAAAAATTCAAATTAAGTAAAAGAAAATCAAAATTTTATTTTAAAATTAAATAATAGTGTGTTCTAATTATATATTTTTAATGAAAATCAATTCTTAAAAAAATCTTTGTATCAATTCCATTCAGCTTCTTCTATAACTTTAAATACTATAATCGCATTCAAGAAATGTAACAATTTCGCATGAACATATATGTTTAATATTTATTGGAAGTGGTAGGAGATTCTATAGAATCTATAGAATCTAGATTCTATAGAATCTCATATTACACTGCACTGTATTATGCTTAGCTTATAAGGATCAGACAAATTATCACCTTGAACTTGAGGAAAAGCTGGAACAATAGGACGTTTTATTTGATTATTTAGATTGGCCAAATCTGCACGTTGCTTTTTGGGCTGCTTCTCTGTATCTTCATCGTCAGAATTTATTCGATATCGAGCAGGTAATTTCTTCTTTCGTTTTGATAGAAGACACATATCAGAATCCGAGTGCTCAGAATCACTGCTTAATTGGGATGTTTCCTGTGCTTTTTGAGCTTTTCTTTCTGCATCAATTAGATTATCTGTAAAAAAGAAATATTTTCTAATGGTATGTTCAATTATAAAGTTAAAGAGAAGAGTAACACTAAAAAAACTAAAATTAAAATAAAATTTAACAAAAAATAACCAAAATTTTATTTTAAAATGGTATTAGTGTTCTAATTACATAATATATAGCTTTTTAATCAATTTGCAGAAACGAACAATTTTTTTATACTAATTCCATAGATTCTCTTATAACTTCAAAAAATAATGTAATTGCATTCAAAAAATGTAACTGTTTCATATGTTTAATGTTTATTCGAAGCAGTAGGAGATTTAATAAAACTAGTACAAAGCATTGGTTTTCAATAAAATCTCCATAAAATCTTTGTCATACTAAAACTGTATTATTAAATTTATTTTAAAATAAAATATAAATATTTTTTACTTCCCTTTTCATTAATTTTGATAATGAATGATAATAAAAACAAACACAAATATAGCAATAAAAATAACGTAAATTATATACCTGCTTGTCCCAAAATTCGTATGTTGACAGAAGCCCAATAAGCATTAGGTTTAGAACAATATTTTAAATGTTTTTTTAAAATTGATGAAGTTACGCCTTTTGGCCAAGATGCAGTTTTTTTATTAGGTAAAATCCAGGAAGAAGGGATAATTTCAACAGTTATTTCTTCAATAAATTCAACTATTGAATATTTCAACATCTGTATAAAAGTTTTAATAACATACAATGTTCTTTAATCTTTAAATAGAATTTTTAAATAAAACAATATATTTGCAACGTTTTCTGTAGTGGATAATAATACTCGAGAAAATATATAAATTGCGCATACAAAAATATTTATTTTAATGAAATTACGTACAAAAATATTTATTTCAATGAAAAAGATATTCAAATATTATTGTCTTATAAATTATAAAAACTTTCTTGACAAAGAAATTATTTTAAAAGAGGCCGGAGAATTATTGGCTCCGCTCGCACCACGAAATCCGGGGCAATGTCTTGGTGTAACGCAGAGGTGGTGCGTTGCCCGTTTGCGTCCCCTTATCGTACGCGTAGGTCTCCGGCGTCTATGTGGCGCCTTCCTTGGTGTCCAACTCCGTTTGCGTGGCCTGGTTCTTAGTCCGCGGCGTGGTCTCCTCAAATGGTAGAGGCGGGATCTTGTCAGGCACTTGGAAAGATCCAACGATGCCTTCAAGAGACCACTCCGGAGAGGCCCAGCGTGGAGAAACCGATCTGCTTAGCCGTGGGTCGTTCTCCCGTAGTGCCCACGTCGGCGATCTGGTCCGTACTCCTGTAGGCAGGTCGAAGGGTGCCAACTTCCACACGGCCGGGGCATCCTCAACCCCGTGGCCTACTGAGGCGCTCGCCAATCGCTTGGTCTTGGCCTTCCATCGTCTAGTGGTAGCGATCCTCCGTGGCGCAGTTTTCCTGCGGGGAGGAGTGCTGTGGCCTTCGGCGGAGCCGAGCGGTGATACGGAGATCGGCGGCAGCTTGGCGGCTCAGATACAGACTGCTCCAAAAAGACTTCGATGTGTTCTGTCAACGTACTCGTAGCAGCTGCGTGGAGTGCCGAGAGCGATCGAGGTCTGTCTTTCGTCGCAAAATTCGGGTATATTTATATGTGGAAACCTTTTTCTCTTACGAGAAAATAGGCCTTCTGGCGGATTATTTAAACAATTTCTTTTTGCTCGTGCAAAGATTAGAACTTGGCTCATGTGGACCTATGATTAATAATGACCAAATCTATAATACTTTAGTTACTAGGAAGAGCACACGTC